AAAGGGTGAAGGGGAAGTCTGAGGCCGTACTCAAACATTTTGAAGTAGAGAGTGACCCATCCCTCTGGAGGATTGTCAGCTCTCTCCCCCTCCTCCGGAATCCTAAGGAGGATGTTCTCAGGGATAGCGAACCCCCTACGAAGGGATCCGAGGTAGTGCTCAAGTATCCTAGAAGGGTATTCCAAACTCTGACCCGAGGTGGAGGCATCACTATCCTCCCCGTCATCGGAGAACCTAAAGTTTTATATCTCCTCGAGCTCGGACTCTAACCTACGAGCTAAATCCTCATCGGATCCTAAGTTGCTGCTAAAAGAGGACGACATGGCAACTACGTTCGAAAGAGAAAGTGAGGGAAGAGACCGACCTACCAAGGGTTCGAGCTGCCTTCAGATCGAACTCCAAGAATTCAGGAAACGTAAGGTATGACCTGAAGGATTGGGGGTATTTATAGCTCGTCGGAAAAATTTCCCCACCGTACACGTGTAATCAACGAGCGGCTAGGATCCTCCCGAAGATCCGAAGCGTCGGAATATTTGAATATTCCGACGATAAATCCACCGCAGCRGTTATATTTTCCCACGAATAGGAAGTCKYCACGCGTCCAAAGCAAGTCGAATGAACTTCTCTGCCAGGTCGAGATCGGACCAGACAGAGAGRGGGYCAATGTTTGGGGAAGAGAATACCCTGGACACGTGGAGGACCCCTATTGGTGCTCCAAGATGACTCATGAGTCATGCCCAGCTCGGGCCGCCGAGATCACCACCACCAGCGTTGACAGATGCTAAGTATGAGGTCCGAGGTGAACCTGGCCGAGGTCCGTTCTACCGGGAAGCTCGGTGGGGGCCGAGGTGAGCTACTGTCACCGGCGTGATTATCGGGTGTAACCGTCGGTCTCGAGATTACCGGGTGTAACCGTCGCGAGATTAGCGGGACTACCACCCATAAGTAGAGGACCTCACTCCACGATCAGGTACGATGATTTTCTGACCTCGAACTAAACTGGGAATCCGACCTATACTGACTTGATCGTCGGAGTGCTCACCTTTTTGTGCAGGTCCGCCCAAGTATTCAGATCGGTCCGGAGGCCGAGTTCGAGCTGCAATCTGAAATACACTGTTGTGCATATCCTTGCATAAACACCGACGAATTTTTTGTGTCGGCAATAGAGTCGGGAGAGGCGCGTCGGGAGAGGTAACTCCCGACGCTTATGACAAAACGTAGGGAAAAATTGACCTTTTCCGACGAAATACGATAGTCGAGAAAAAATGACTTTTCCCGACGAAGTACAAAAAGTCGGGAAAAGTTGATTTTTCCCGACGGGGTACAAAACGTTAGGAAAAGTCAACTTTTCCGGACGGAGTACAAAACGTCGGGAAAAGTTGACTTTTTCCCCACATTTTTTGAAAAACGTCGAGAGTTTTCTTTTTCAATCCTAATTTGAATTGTATCCCTATTTTAGAAACCTAATTTATGATATTTAAATTCACATTATCAAAATATCAATTAATATGAGTTCAGGATGTATGTTACAAAATTTGTATCCCTAATTTATGTACGTTACAATCGTTGAGGATATAATAATAAAATATTACATCACAACAAAAGTTGCACCGGTATGCAAATACTGTATTTCTACAAGAGTTGCACCTATCCACAAAAGTTGCACCTGTACGCAAAAACTTCATCTCTACAAAAGTTGCACCCGTCTACAAAAGTTGCACCTATCCAAAAAAGTTTCACCTATCTAATCTTCTAACACGTGAAGCCTTGCAGAATAGTAACTCCCAAAAGTACCTGAAAAAACAAAACAAAACCATTATGAATGTTTAGTAATTCGAACTAGGTAAAGAATGAAAAGTAAAATTTGATTCTATCACAAGTCTTTAATACAATACAAAGAATCTTAAAGAGATATCAAACACAAAAAATTCCTCTCTTTTCATAATAGGAAACAAACAATGAGAAGTCAAAACATTTCTCAAACGAAGCATAAATTCAATCAAAGGACTACTTAAGTAAAGAAATGGAGTCTTGAATCTAAAAACAACATAACTAAACTCAATTCAATGAAAATGTTGGAGTTGTGCAATTCCTATTTTAGCAACCCTATGTTGTGCAATTCAATCAACCTGTATGCAATGACTCCTTTTCTACAAAATGTTGGAGTTGTGCAATTCCTTAAAACTAAACTCAATCTATTCAATACTACCATTATCATTTACAAGACAAATCAAGCATAAATTCAATCAAAGCAAACTCCATCACATTGCAAGTTCCATAAAGAAACAAATCACAGTAAAGAACGAATCCATTACTGATCAAAATAAGTATCCATCCTCAACTCACCAACTCACAATAAAGATATGTTTTAGTTCAAAACACAGGTCAGGCCAATCTATAGATCAAAAGATCCAACCTTTTGACTAAACCCAGTTCGAGAAAATCCAAACTAGATATAAATTGGAATAGAAAACAGAGTTGCAGTGCATTCATATCTAGCCAGCTAAGTTCCCCAACCAACCATCAAGCACTAAACCATTAATTACCAACACTCCTCTACAACCTAGGATTTTCATGCTGTTGACACTATCCAGGCAAAAACATCCGACCTCTTTTAAAAATCAAACTGAAATGAGAACTGTTTTCTCCCAACTCATGAACTTTTCCATACAAATTCCCCCTAGGCTATCACTGGAAAGCGACAAGCAACCAGTCAAGTAGAAGAACTAGGTTGTTCAACTTAAAAGGAGCAAAATCAATGGAAGATTTCCAATGAGCAAGTGTGACTCAGGAAATCAACAATTAAAACAATCAATCATTACGCACTTGGTGCAGTACATTCTTCAACTTTGCCATCAAACAGTAACAGTTAGGTAGATCGATCAACTTTGCAATCAAAAGCCCCACAAGTTCTTAACCATTCGCCCTTCAAAATTATAAATCTCCATCAACTGACCCCTGACTACATGGTTTTTCTTCCTCCCATGACTCTCTTCTTCCCCAATGTCTCTCTCTTCATTTTCATGAGCAAAACTACATATACATGTTCAAAGGACTACTTACGGATGTGATTCATACCTATCCAAACGGCGAATCGAGTTCTAAGCTTTGTTGACTCATGATTTGTGCCATTTCACGCCTGAAGATGTTCAACTCGTTACGCATTTCTGCTTCATGCTTTTGCATTTTATTTAGAATTTCTTCATTCTTGTTCATCGTTCATCTGAGACATTTTGTCGATCTCTCGTCTCTCTCAACTCTTCTTTTGTTTGCCTCAGCTCCTCTTTTGACTCTTTCAACTCTTCGTTTGTCTCTTTCAGCTATTCGTTTGTTTGCCTCAACTGGTCTCTAGTCTCCCTCAATTCGTCCAGTTGCGACGAGCTTCGTCCACCGCGTGCTAATGGCGGTGGGCATAACCCCATATTCGCAACGAATCCAGATTGAGAACCAAAAACCGCGAGACAACAATCTTTGTCTGTGGGTGAGTCTGCACCTTCGGGTACAGGTGCGTTCTTCATGGCCATCCATTCGTCCTGCAAACGAAAGGTGAGTTACATGTAACATACTATTTTAATATCATGTACTCCCATAACGAATACGATGACTTAACCTTTACATATGTCGATTCCCCTCTAGAGACCCACCCTTTGTCTGGATGATACCTGGTCTCTTTAAAAATTTCTATGAGGCCGATCTCGACACCCCTCCGTTCTTTCTACATTTGACATTAATTGCACATTTCAATTTACACAGTGCATAATGGTACGTGTAATTATGAACTATATATACAAACCAATTCGTGTTGCAGGCGACCGAAAGATTTTGACCCAGCCCGATGGTTGTATGGTAACTTCGCTCTACTTCTCTTGGCTTTTCCTGATTTTTCCTAATTGAAGTTAGCAACATGAGATTAGCATCGTATCTCACAATGGTGTAAGGTAGGAGATAGATTTACACATCTTCCAATCGGGAGTCTCCCATCTGTCGCACAACTTGTGCCAATCCTACAACTTCGTGATTCTAGCATGAGGTTTCTCCCGAGCTACATTGGGAGGTCCATTTTCTTTGTAGTGGGCATGCAATTCTGCCCTAAACTTCTTAAATGTTGTTCGTAGTATTGTGTGTACATACTTCCTTATTGTCGCCTCTGACATGTGTTGGGTGTGTTGCCCTAAACTCGTAGTTTGTATTTTGTAAAAACAAATGTCTATTTAATAAAGTTTTTATTCAATAAATTTGTTGTTGAATCATAGCTTTGCATTGTCCAAAATCCAATAAATTAAACATCCAAGGTTATTTTTTATGTAATCGGGACAGTATATATACTGGGTATATAGTTGATATACGAGGTATATATTTGATATACCCCTGATATATGAATGGATAATATCCCGTGAATAACCTAAAGGGTCTATAGTATATGGATAAGGTTGGGTACCTTATCCTGGCAACACTATGGATACAGACCACTCTGTAAAGGTTACAGACGACTCGATCCAGGTCGTTCGTGTGGAGACATGCGAGTGGGGGTATCCTGTACAATGAGTTTGTATAAGACCAGACCGCGAAATAGGCAATCTTTAGATGTAACACCGTTAACTAATAGGTTGCTATTTCTTAGGATGACCAGACAACTCATTATCAATCTTGAGTGAGTTATGGACTCCTGCCCATGAGGGCTCGTCCTTTGATCTGTATGGGTGAGAGTGGCCCGAGTCGCCGACTCAACATTCCTATCATTTTGGGGACGAGACTGAGTGGGGAGCTGGGAACATAACTTCACAAGATGAAATTCACTCCTCCCCGACTTTAGGGGAGTAGATGAGTGTTCTCTTAAATGCTGACTCCGGGACTTGAACAAGGGGCCCCACCTCTCATTGGCCGAAAGGGACTTCCTGTTATTGGTTGGACCATAACCGGGTTGTTCATTAGAGGAGCAGTGGTGTTTAAGGAGTAAGATATAACTCAGGGGTAAAACGGTAATTTGACCCAACTTGAGTTACGAACACTCGTGAAGGATTGACTCGTCATTAATGGTCGTATATCCATGGACACGAAAACATTCTGCAGTGAGAAAAGTGCAACTGCGGGTCTTTAGTGGAATGACCCGTAGTTAACGAATCTAGATTAACTCGGTCAATGAGTTTGATTGATTAATCTTGCGTCGTTGAAACTTCGGATCTGTAGGTCCATTAGGTCCCCTTGCTAGCTCATAACGGGTAAAACGAGGATCAAGTTTTTGAAAGAATTTGAATTGTTCAAATTACTTAAGAGATTATATGTATATTGATACATTATAATATATAGTTAATTATAAATTAAAAACTATATATTATGAGAGAAATTATTTGAATGAGATTCAAATAAAATTAAAATGAATATCATTCATATTAAAACTATAGGTTAAAAATAATGTGCATAAGATGTACATTACAGGTTATGCGAGAGAAATGTTTTAGAATATGATTCTAATTTTATAATAAATAATTAAGTGTTAATTATTTATTTGATATATATATATATATTTATTAATTAATTATTAATTGGATTAATAATTATTAATTAATAAATTAATATATAATATTAATTATTATATATATATTAATTATTATTATTAAGTAATATATAAATTAATAATTAACTCCCCTGCAAAATTGCAGGGGAGTGGGCTTAAGTGACGTGGGGTACTGTTTTTTGTTCTTCTTCCTTTGCAGTTCTGCAAAACGAAAGAAGAAGAGAACAGAACAGAAAAGGAACTCCCACAGATCTCTCTCAAGAATCTCAATCTCTCCGTCTCGTTCCAAATTTTTGCTCCCACCAGCACGATCCCGAGACCCAAGAGGATAGCGAGGAAGAAATAGTGGTGGTGTTCGAGGAAAACTAGTTGAAGAAACGTTCTTCAAAGGTAATGTTTTCTCTGTATTTTTCTCTGTAAAATTCGATTTTGTATCCCGAAAAACAGCAACGAAAGTCCGCTTCCGCTCCGGGATTCACATCCCTTCAACATGTTCACCTTGAACAAATTCTGCAGCAATAAATGAGTGGGATGTAATTTCATGTCATTGTATTTAAATATATGAAAATAAATAACTTACCACTATGCGTTGTTTTGCTGCATCCCTAACTTCCATCGATACGTCCAACCAACGGGAGTACAGTGCTGGGTCGAAATTCTCTCGAACAATGGATCCTATGGCATTTGACATGCGTGTGGCATTCTTGCATATTGGCTTCTATGAGAACTCGTCCATTACAATAGAGACAGGCCCATCTTTTCCCACCTCCTTGTCCAATTGTACACACCGAGTTACTCCCCGTCCCTTACGAGACTGAGTAGCACTACCTTAAATCATTACACATTTTATCAAGTATTATTGAAATCTTAACAAAAAAAAAACTTTTAACTATACTAACTGGAAGGGATGTCTTCGGAGTCGTCTCCCAAAGCTTCCTCCCGTTGCCCTTCCTCGAATATATCGTCGACCTCCCCTTGTGTGTTTCGAGCCATACCTAAAAAAATTATTCAAAACATTGTCAAATAAAACAATAAATAATGAAGCTTTAATTACAAACATTATCAACATGAACACATTGCAAAAGTAGGTATGCAGTAAAATTACATACTTAATCACTTTCAAATTCATTTGATTCTAAAGTCTCTGAACTTTTAGAATGAGATACTTCAACATTCTGCTCTTCGTCATTTATAAAACTATCGTCTATGTTCAATGGTGGACCCGTGTTAACTCTTTCTTCAATGATTTGTAGATCAACAACAGTTGGAGTAACGTCATCTCTATAGTAAGAACTATCTGCAATAGTTTGATCGATGGTAATACCACTTTCTATCTCTAACAGATTAACTTCATCATTATCCACATCATCTAGTTCTGGGACGTCCCATAAATGTTTATTTTGAACTATCTGCACTACCTTCCAATTTTTTCCCAATTTAGGATTGTATAAGTAGAAAACCTGTTGGGCCTGACTAGCAAGGATAAATGGGTCATCCACATACCAGTAGTGAGACGTATCGATCGTTCTAAATCCTAAATCTACTACTGATCGTTTTTTTTTTCACATCCGTGTCGAACCAGTTACATTTAAATGTCATGACAAGTCCAAGTCTAAAACCTCGCTCAAGACACCGTAGAAATTCTTATCATCTCCTTCAGTATCTCCTGACACCATGACTCCACTATTTTGTGTTACTCGACGCGTATCCCGCTCAGTATTGTGAAAACGTGTACGATTCACAATGCAACCACTATAACTGGGTGCGTGAGAAGCCGGTCCCATAGCTAAAGAGTAGTGATCATCAGATATATTTCCATCTTTTCGTAGTTCTAAAACCTACTCATGTAATAAACATTTTTGGTAATTATTGTTTACACATAATGTAGTATGAACTTTGGGACGCTAAAAAAGCACACTTACTTGAGATTTAAACCAATCGGAAAACTGTAATTGGTGATTTCTATATAAGTCGGTCGCGCTTACCGCCCAAGGTCGAAGCATTCTCAAATGTTGCCTTTTGTTAGAAGCAAAACATAAATTCAATACATTATGGAGTATGCATGCTTCATTAATAAATGCAATGGAAATGTACCTGCGATAAGACTCTATTTCTGCGCAATTGTTCAGTACATACCAGTGAACTATTCTTTTCTCATCATCAAACAGTCTACGCAATGTTGGGCACCCTAATGGTCGTGCGCTCTGTCTAAATATGTCAAACTTCCCACAAATCTCATTATCAGATAATATATCATAGTCTCAATGCCTGTTAAATACAATGAACAGAAAGTCAACGCTTCATTCATGACAAAGGCTTTTGCTATTGAACCCTCTGGACGAGCCTTGTTTGTAACGTATTGTTTCAAAGTCCACAAGCTTCTCTCGATAGGATACATCCAACTGTAACTAACAGGACCAACTACTTTTGCTTCGTAAGGTAAATGAACAGCAAGGTGTACCATGACGTCAAAAAATGCTGGGGGAAATACCTTCTCCAACTTACAAAGTATGAGTACTATATCAGCTTCTAAACGATCTAAATCACTGGTGGATATTATCTTCACGCATAAATCACGAAAGAATTTACATAGTTCAACAATAGATGTACTCACATTTTTTTGTACGTATGCTCGAATACCGATAGGAAGAATTCGTTGGAGTAACACATGACAATCATGAGTTTTCAATCCCCATATTCTACCATCTTCAACGCTAACACATCGAGATATATTTGAAACAAATCCATCAGGAAATTTGATAGATTTAAGGAACTTACAAAATTCTATCTGATCCCTTCTTGTAAGAGTGTATGTAGCTTGAGGTTTCAGATACTTATTACCTTGTTTCTGTAAGTGTAACTCTTTGCGTATTTTTAAATCTTGTAAATCCAAACGAGCGTTTGATGTATCCTTAGATTTACCTTCAATACTCAACAAAGTGCCGACTAAGCTATCACACACATTTTTCTCAATGTGCATCACATCAACCTTATGCCTTAACAAGAGTTTCGACCAATAAGGAAGTTCAAAAAATATACTCCTTTTTGTCCTAGAATCACGCTTTCGCTTCTTTTTAGCATTTGATGGATGCTTACCAAATGGGGGAAATTTCAAATAGGTCACTTCATGAAGAATCTCATCTCCATCCATTATGGCTGGAGGAAGCCTACGTTCAATCTTTCCATCATGACATTTACTCCTACGCCAACTATGCATTTCTGGAAGATAACAGCGATGACCCATGAATGATATTTTACCACGTATTCTAAACGATGATGTATCTTCTTTACAAATAGGACATGCTTGATAGCCTTTGGTACTCCATCCAGACAAATCGCCATATGCAGGAAAGTCATTAATGGTCCATAGCAAAGCTGCATGCATTTTAAAATATTCTCCACTGAAACAATCATACGTGCGCACACCATTGGTCCATAACTCCTTCAGCTCCTCAATCAACGGTTGCAAATATACATCAATATCTTTTCCAGGCGACTTAGGTCCGGGTATGAGCAAGGACATAAAAAAATATGGTTCTTTCATGCATTTCCAGGGTGGCAAATTATACGGTACAAGTATAACCGACCACATACTATACGAATGGTTCATGTTACTTGATGGGTTGAATCCATCCGAAGCTAGAGCTAGTCGAACGTTTCTAAGATCTGATGCAAAATGAGGGAATTCAGTATCCAAATGCTTCCACCCAGCAGCATCAGCTGGATGTCGTAGCACACCCTCTGTATCAACCCGCTTTTCCTTATGCCATCTCATTTCAGATGCTGTATGTTTCGATGAGTACAATCGCTTCAACCTGGGTATCAATGGGAAATGGCGCAATATCTTATGAGGGATCTTTTTACTACTATCACCAGTATCTTTGTACCGTGACTCACCACATTTTGGACACACTTCGAAGTTTGCAAATTCTTTCCAAAACAATACACAATCCTACTTGCAAGCGTGGATGGACTCGTATCCTAATCCTAACACACGCAGTTTCCTTTTCGCTTCATAGAATGAACTAGATATGTTCGTACTGTCTGGAAATGCTACCTTCAATAATTCGAGTAACATATCAAATGATTTATTACTCCACTTATTTAGCACCTTGATGTGCATCAACTTAATCAAAAAATTTAACGAGTTTATTTTTGTACAACCAGGGTACAATTCTTTAGTTGCTTCCTTCATCAAGTCCTCAAACTCGTTCGAATTGTCCCTTTCAAAACCTTGTGTCGGCATCCCAGAGGCAAAGTCTTCTTCATCTTCATCATCTTCTACCATCGGACCTCTCAAATCATTTAGAAACTCAGACATCTCATCTTGTTCTCTGGTAACATTACACTCTCTACTTATGTTCTCTTGGGACGGACGAGTGTCTGTTACATATTGGTCATAGTTAGGTGGTTCTCCGTGATGTACCCACGGACTGTAGTTAGGAGATATCCCATTCGTGAATAAGTGTTGTTCCACTACGTCCAATAGATGCCACATTACATTCTGACATTTTTTGCATGGACATCTCGTCTTTCCCAACTCGTTAGCATGACGTTTGGCGACTTCCATAAATTGTGAAGCTCCTTTTACATAGTCTCTTGAAAACCTATCTCTTAGCTTAATCCAATCTCTATTTATTTTCCAACTAAACGTTTCAAAATGACTTGCGATTAAGTTCGAAACACTTGTAAAAGAGTTTGATTGATTGAAGGAGGGAGATAAGTTCGAAACCTGCGTTTAAATTCGAAACACCTGTGATTAAGTTCGAAACACTTGCGTTTAAGTTCGAAATACTTGTGAAGGGCAGTGATTTTGAGAGATCGAGAGAGTAAAAGAGAGAAATGGGAGGTGAGAGTTTGATTGATAGAAGAAGGGAGATAAGTTTTTGGTAGTTAAGTAAGTTTTAAAAGTTTGGGAGATTCATGTTTTACTTTTTTCTTTTTTTTTTGACACATCAAAGGTAAACTTGAGAACAACCATCTTATTTTTCAATTCACTTGAAATTTCACATCAAGGATGTAATTGAAATAAATTGATACATTAAAAGATAAAATAATTGAA